CACAAACATATGCTAAAAAAAAGAAGAGCCGCTTGGCTTGGGCTGCCGTCCCAACCACACAGGAGACAAGAGAGTGAAAGTAAGCACTGACTTTAGCCAAAGGTGCATGGAAACTTTTTTTATTCCTATGGGTCTCGATGAAATGGAAACACCAAGCCCCCGCTTGGCATGGTGATTTGGGTTTTGCATCAGGTCAACAGACCGGTCATACCTCCCTGCTTTGGGTGCGAGGGGCTGGGGATTTAGCTCAGCGGCACAGAGCCTGCCTGGCAAGCGCAGGGTCGTGAGTTCGATTCTCGGTACCGGAAAAAAAAAACCAAACCAAAAAACAAAAACAAAGAAATGGGTGTGAGACCCAGGTTGATGGTGCTGTGCTGGGTTTGGTAATGGGAAATTAGGCCACTCGTGGGATGTGTGATAATGTGCATGTGGTGAAAGCGGCTATTCACAGTGGTTTACCCAGAGGTTGACCACCGGCGCTCACAGCCATTGTTTCCACCAGCGCTCTTCAGTGGTGGGCTTTGTCTGGCTGGCTTCACAAGAGCGAATGCCATTATGGGAGACCACATAACCTTATTTAGGCGGCTGCCAGATAATAGAGACGCTGTAGGTATTAGCTTGACTGCATTAGTTTGATTTGTTGCCACAGTGCACCTTGTCTTGGGCATTAGTGGAGACAAAGGCCTGGAATCACCGGGAGCAGAGATAAGCCGTGGATTAGAGCCTGTGTGTTTTGAGGGAAAGAGAATTCTAGTGTAGGTTTTCATTTCCATCTTCATTTTGCTTGATTTTTTTTCCTCCTCAAAGTTAAAGACCAGTTTTTCCCCGAAAATGATTATATTCTCCCCAAATTACTAGCAATGGCAGTTCAAAAAATGTTACTGATTCATTCTTTTCTTTAACAAGATCAGCCTTTATCTTTTAGTTTTTTTGAAAACGATTTTAGGCATAATATAGTAATAACCTTGTGTGCTATCTTGGTTCTTGAATATTCTCATATACTATAAACTTGCTTATCACTTTTTTATAGGAGTGAGAAGTTTCTATAATTTAAAGAATTCGGGGCACTATTCCTGCTGATCAATGTCTGTGATGCTGTTTTATTTTTTTCCTAAATTCTATAATTTTATGCATAATCTTTACACTCCTCAAGGGGCAGGGGCTGGAAATTAAATTTAACTCTAGACACATTCTACATTCTAGAGAAAGTTATTTCTTTTTAAAAAGTCAACTTTTTAAAAGTACTATTTGAAAATCCACTTAATACGAGGATTGTGGAAGTTTCTTGGTCTATACAAGGTTTAAAATCTTATCTTCAATTGGGCAGATTTTAAGGAGAAAGCTCTAATTCTGGCATGGTAAGATACAGAACAGATTATAAAGTGTCATCACACTTTAAACAGTTACAGCAAAAACAGCTATGCATGCGCGTGTGTGTACACACGTAAATGCTCTTTGGTGTACGAAAAGATCCAGGTGGAGATAAAGGGTGGTTTATCTCTGAAGGATGAGGGGGAGGGGATTTTACTTTACTTCTATATGCTTTTGCTTAGAAAGTGTCATGATTCTTTCTGATGACTATCAGAGCACATTCAAAAGGCAGTTTTATCCCACTTCCTCAGTCAGTGTAATAGTGTAACAAAATGTATCACTGACTAGAAATCATTAAATTGGAAATACTATTATTTTTTGGTACCGGAATCAAATTCAGGATCTCACGCTTGCCAGGCAGGCATAAATTGGAAATAGATATAAGCCAGATGACCATCACCACTTTAAGGAAAGTAGAACATGTTACATGAACTAGAAAACTATTTTAAGAGGTTGCATTTATTTGCAGCTTAAATCTTTTGTGTAGTGTAATTGCAATGGTGTGAATGTGAAAAGTGATGTTTTTATATCACTATTTTGGCACGATTTCTCTTAAAAAAAACAAACTGGAAACTCTTGCCAGAAGCTTTGTTTTGATAGTGATGATTTACTCCATAAAACAATAAAAACTGAAGATTCATGAATACAACATATTCTACAGTATAGGTAGACATAATCATATTTGAAAATGTGCTTGATAGAAATTAGCTGAAGTAAGTGGTACAGCGCCTGCCTGGCAAGCACCAGGTTGTAAGTTCGATTCCCGGTACAGCGGGGAGAGAAGAAATAAAATTAGGGGCTGGGGGTTTAGCTCAGCGGCACAGCGCCTGCCTGGCAAGCGCAAGGTCATGAGTTCGATTCCTGGAACCGGAAACTCCCGCTACAAAAAAAGAAATTAGCTGAAGTAAACTGTACCCTCCTTTTCCAGATTATTTTGCTTGAAGTACTTTGTAAATGGAATTCAGCTTATAGAAACAGTCATGAATTTACTGATTTAGGGTATTGATTTATTAGATTAACTTTGTTTACTTAAAAATAGCCGCTTTTTTCTGAAAATGTTTATTAAAATATACAGGAAAGGTCTTTAATGTAATTAAAAGTGTCCAAATATAATATGCATCATGCTATAATCATAATTATTTACAATATTATTTTCAGAAAAAATGATATTTGGATTAAATGCAAGAAAGAAAACATCACATGTTAAACACTTGATATTTCTATTGATGCTTCATGTCCTGCAACTGAAAGATAGTTTCACAAGTTTAGTTTTCCTCTATCTACTCCAGGAGATTTGCGTTGAAATTTTTTTTCGCCATTAAAAGCTGTGATTCTCTGTGGGACCTTTTCAGCTTTGCCCGCCGATTTTGGAACCAAATCTAAAATGAAGGAAAAATAAAATAGGTCTCAGAAACATTTTGTTATTCTTCATATTACAATCATCAAGAGTAACAACCAGATTGAAAATTACCTGGATTCTGTCTTCCTCTAGATTCAATTTTTGAGCTAAGTCTTCTCGGATATCAATGCCAGGATAGCAGTTGACCCTAAAGACATTTTCCAATACTTCAATCTAGAATAAGAAAACAATCTTTTTAAATGTTGACATTCCATTATGTCACCAAAAATGGACTTCAATTTATATAACTAAATAATTGCATTTAAACCTTGGGCAATTAATCTAAATGTCTTTTAAATGATTTCCCAGAAACTGCTAAAATATGATAATCCATTGTTTCTTTAATACGGCTTCCAAGCCACAATCCCAGAGGATTTTGCCCTGCAGGGCATCGGTGACAGCCTGTGTGATATCATGAAGGGACTAAAAACCTTCCCACCTGGTTTTGAGTAAAAGCAGTTCTTGGTCTTCGTCCTTTATACCAGCTCATCTCACTTTTCAAAGACAGTCTTTCTGAGGTTGAACGGTAATATTCATGCTTTAAGACTCTTTCTTCGGTCACTGGGTGATCCACCGCGCAAGGAAAGGAGACCCCATGGGGGAGGCTTGGGAGGGGCAGACATCGGTCACCTTCTTTCCCTAAAAGCAGGAAAATAAACCCGACCTTAGAGAGCCAACCCTATGTCCCGCAAATGGCTGTGAGAAGTAATTTCAGTAACTTTTCTTTAATTTTTCTACTGGAATTCTTCTGGGTTTCACAAAAGAACCATTCCCTCATCAAACCAGAAACCAAAAGCCAAACAAAAATGAAAATCCCGCCTTGGTGTAAAAAACATTTTTATTTTATTTTGGGGAGGGAGTGTCAGGTACACACACAGAAGTTTTTCAGGTAAATGCAGGTTTCTGGCATTTCCTATGACCTTATTTCCCCTCCGTCTTAAGGCAGGTAGTCTGTTTATTCCCCACAGGACGTCTTAAAGTCCTAGATGCTGACTGGTCCTAGTTATGTAATTTAATGAAACCGGTTCCTCTCTAACTCGATGCGGCATAAAACAAAGAACAAACTAGACATTCAAATGCAACTTAAAAGTGTAAACGTGAGTTCTTGGCGTACCTGAGGAGCTGCAGGCGTCCGCCCAGGGCCTGTGCGGTTTCAGCGGTGGAGCACAGTTCTTCTGGTCGGGTCCCAGGATACTCTCTATTGAAAAGGAGCGGGGTGAGGGTTTGCCTTCCCTAGGCTGAGCCGCTTGCTGGAGGCTGGGAGACATCCTTCCTCGGGCTGCGCGGGAGAGCTCTGGCCTCTCCGCCGCCTCTGCCCCACGGCACAGGTGGGGTCCGCCCGAGCACACCTTATAGCTCTGCTGACAAGGGGGCTGGATTTAGAATGTCACTAATTAAAATCCTGTTTCAGAAAGTTTTAGCATGTCAATGAACACTTGCCCAGCCAGCAGCTTGAGGAGTTAATTGTTTATTTGTTTGCAAGTAATTAGCAACTAATGGCTACACCAGGGGGGCCACCTACAGGGACAAAAAGTGTTATCTCTTCGAAGCAGAACACAGACTTAACTTTCTGGAAGGAAGTGATGCACAAACGTAGGCCTCCTCCTTTCTTTGGAATCATGAATGTATAAAATCATGCTTTATATCCCGAAGTCTCTACCTTCATGGATTCCAGTTACCTAAACCTACAGGCAAGATAGGAGAGCAGTCAAGTAACGAATAATCTAATTTAAGTAAATTTTCTTCCAAGGAAATTGGAAAAAAATCATAATCTCTTAATGCTATTACGGTAATTCTGATGAAAATGCCTGTTTTTCATATGCATATGTAATAGTGAATGTGGTCAATGAGAACACAAGCGTATTTGGGGGGCAGCATACTGGAAAAGATTGCCATGTTATTAACACTGAGTGTGATTGTCTTCCAAGTGCCTGGATTAGTTCACAGGAGCAGTTGCACCAAGTATTTTAAATGATTACTGGGCTAATTCCTTTCCTTCATCTTTTCTTTTAAATGAGAGAGGTACGAGTTTATATAAAGACTCCTATGTAATTTCCTCCAAGCAGTGTAATGTACAGCCATTCAAACTACATAGAGTAACTTCTCTAACGCATTTGTTTCAAAGAGAAGAGTCAACAGCATATGCGATGTTTTGTTTTATTTTGTCGTGTTGTGTTCTTAGATGCTGGGAACAGAACCCAGGGCCTTGAGCACGCTAGACAAGGCCACCGCAGAACTCAGCCCAGCACTCAGTTTGCTGTACGTGTTGTACTGAGGGGTGATTCCATAGCTTCGCGCTGAGCTGCACCCCCTGCCCATTTTTTATTTCTGTTTTGAGACAGGGTTTTGCTAAATTGCTAAACTGCCCAGGCTGGGCTCTCAGACTTGCAATCCTTCTGCCTCGGCCTCCCACAGTGCCAACACGCACAGTGTAACTGTACTTTGATACAGAAAATTTTCCCTCTGCTGCTCTTTTCCTTTCATTTTGGGGTGGAGGAGCCAACTGAGGCCCTCCAGCATGCTAAGCACACCATCTACCAATGAGTTATATCCCAGCTGCCCTGTTGATCTTTTGAAGAATTGGGATGGGGTGATTTTTTTTTTCCAGTACCGGGAATCGAACTCATGACCTTGCCCTTGCCAGGCAAGCGCTGTGCCACTGAGCTAAATCCCCAGCACCTGGATGGCGTGATTTCATGATCAAGATTGGGCTTGTAAGAAAAAATGACTAAGAACGGAATATTTTAGTTTTATAATCCTACAAAAACTTGAAATTAAAACATATAGAGCCCGGGATATAGCTCAGCAGCACAGTGCCTGCCTGGCAAACACAAGGTCCTGAGTTCGATTCCTGGTACAAAACAAAATTAAAAAGTATAGCTAGAACCAGGCCTGGTGGTGCATACCTGTAATCCCCGCACTCAGGAGGCTGAGGCAGGAGAATCGTTGCGAATTTGAGACCAGCCTGGGCTACAAAGTGAGCTCAAGGTCAGCCTGAACTGCAAAGCCAGGCCCTGTCTCAAAAAAAAAAACAAAAACAAAAACAAAAAAAAGTGTAGCAGCTAATCGGGAAGATGTTGCAGTGGCCGGTCTAGAAAGGTATAACAGTTGTGGTTCTTGTACGCTTTTCCTCTCCTTCTGGTACTTTCTTGAGGATGGATTAAGTGCTCGGTGTTCTTCATCATTTGAACGACTTCCGGACTCTGTAGGAAAGAGGAAAAGTAGTACATAGGGAAAATAGCCTCTATGGGATGGAGCTCAGCTTTGTCATATTTCATCCTACGGTGATGCCGCAGCATGAAGTGAAATTCACCCATACGCACGCTCTGCGGTGAACCAAGGAGCTCACTCACGACGTGTGAGCAGGGACACACAGGGTGGGTTTATCAGTTTACATGTGAAGTCACTTTGTGGATGAACAAACATTCACATCTCGAGGAGACTGTGTATGCAGGGCCTTAGGGTGCAGCCTGAAATGGGGGATGGCTCTATCTGGGGAGCATGAGGGGATGAGAAAGGAGGCTGGCCTTCCCAGGTTTCTTCCTCTCCTTTGAGACATTCACTCACTCACTCATTCATTCATTCATTCATTCTGAAATGGGTCGAGAACCCGTTCAGCACCAGAAAAGATGAACAAGATTCTTGCCTTCAGGAAATACACAGTGGTACGGCAAGTGCGGCGTGGGGGGTGTCAGACAGGCAACAAACCATAATCATAGATAAATTATCTGGGGTATTAGCCGAAGATTAGCATGTGGAAGGAAGCGGTGAGCAGGCGAGAGGGGTCAGCAGGAGGAGGTGCAGGGGCAGCCGCCTGGGTCGCCCTCCCTGAGACCCTCAGCCCAAGCCTGAGCCCAAGCTGCAAGGAGCAAGAAGCCGAAGCAGGGGCTGAGGCAACTGGTTCCCAGCTCCTTCTTTGTTAAGGAAGATGGTCCACTATTTTCATTCAGTTTGAGCTGCTTTTACTGAACACTGTTTTTGTCTTTTTTTTGTTTTGTTTTGTGTTTTCCAGTACCAGGAATCAAACTCACGACCTTGCACTTGCCAGGCAGGCGCTGTGCCGCTGAGCTAAATCCCCAGCCCCTGTTTTTTTGTGTTTTTGAGATAGGGTCTCACTATGCAGTTCAGGCTGGCCTTGAGCTCACTTTGTAGCCGAGGCTGGCCTTGAATTCCCAAGGATCCTCCTGCCTCAGCCTCAAGAATGCTGGGATGACAGGCATGTGCTACCATGCCTGGCTAACACCATTTTTATAAATGAATGAACAGATAAAAATAAAAGGTAGGAAAGAATTTCTCTAAAAATCTAGGGAATTTTTTTTATTTTTTTTTGGAAGCAGGGTCTCTCAATGTCATTCAGGCTGGTCCTGAATTCGCTTATATAGCCCAGGCTGGCCTTGAACTCACAGCAATCCTCCTGCCTCAGCCTTCTGAGTGCTGCAATTACAGGTGTGTGCCACCATGCCTGGCTTGGGGGAAATATTTTTGTGTGTATTCCCACAACAGAATTTTGCAGGGCACTTAATATGTGTCAGATAATATTGTAGGTCTTTGAGATCAGTGATGAACAGAACATGGTAACTTCAGAGAGTGATGAACACATTGACAGATGTAAAAGAGATAGTGGCAGTATAGGCACTCCTTGTTTAATGTTCCTGTGAGTAGGCCATTATATAAATTGGTCACTAAATGAGGAACTATATATTGCAATATTCAATTAGCAATAATCAGGCCTCAGGTAAACCTCATTGGCTGCGATACTGCCACTGTACAAAGCTACAATATTCAGAACAAAGAAATGGTCAAAGGAAACTCCAAGATGATGACTTTGCTTCTGTTTGCTTAACTCTCACCTGCGGTACTGTGCTGTGTAACAGAACATGGAACTATAGCACTGTACCACACAGTTGTCTTAGTTACTTTTTGTGTCGCTGAGACAAAATACCCAACCCTCGAGGTTAAGGGAGGAGATGTTCACTTGGCTCACAGTTTGTGGAGGTTTCAGTCCGTAACTGGCTGGCTCCGAGGCAGGGTGGCACACGGCAGGAGGGCATCGCAGAGGAGAGATGGTTCATACCATGGCAGGGCAGGAAGAAGGCAGCAAATAGCAAGCGAAAGCCACAGAAGCACAGCCTGCCCTTTGCTTTTATTTCTTCCAGGCTTTTATTTCAGCACTCCCAAGTGGGGCACGCTTGATCCCAGCATCACACAGCTTAGATCCAGCCACCTCTGAAAAGCCCAGCCTATGACCTCATGAGGCCTGGGGGGACATCTAGACACACGCCGTAACAGTAGTGCAATCAGCAAAAATGACAGTACTGGTACAAAAAAGATGTTGAGCTTTTATAAACTATGTGCAGAACTGTGCGAAAGTAATGACATTCAAGCTAACATTTTAGTCATCAAATCCTTCAAGGTCCTCATCAGTATCATCATCAGAATGATGATCAGGAGATGCGGAAGGCTCAGATGAGAGAGACGGTGAGGGGGGAATGGGAGAACCAGTAGTGAGGGTCCTGGGCGTGGCTTTTGAGAAGCATCACGTTGGTGTGGTCTGTCATTTCCTTTTCCGCTTCATAAACCTTGCGATAGCATTGTAACATTCACTTGCTTGCTGTTCCGCTTCCGGGACCCGTCCAGTGTTAGGTCCGTGGCCTGTAGTTCTGACACAGCTGTGTTCACTTTTGAGGGCACACTGTGGACGTACACTGACCGAGAAATCCGGAGTTTTCATGCACAGAATCAAATACAGAAGTAGAAGAAGCCACCAAATAGCCGCCCTGCCGTTCACATTCCTGTGTCCGTAAATCTGAACGCAAGTCCTGAGTCCGCACAGCACGCCTTGGTGTAAGTCTGAACAGCCGTTACACAGGTAGAGTGCTTATTGAGGAATATGTGTACGACAGAGTGAGGGGGGGTGTCTTTTAGGAAGAGGTGGTCAGTAGTCAAGGAAGGCTTGTTCAAGGAGGTAACAGTTTAGCGGAAGCTGAGTCTGAGGGGAAGCCAGTGCACCAAGGGCCCGAGAGAAAGCCCTGCAGTCATTGGAGCTTCTGAGGAAGACAAAGGAAGTAACTGGAGCAGAGCAGGCAGTACCTGGTGCTTTTGGTGAGCCAGGCTGGGATGGGTAATGGGTGGGCTTTCCTTCCTGAAGGCTGCAGCAAGGTGTTCTGGTACGAAGGTAAGCCAGGGTGGGTCTAGAGCTGGGACTGATATACAGTACTAGGGCACTTTTTTTTTTTTTTTTTTTTTTGAGACAGGGTCTCACTATGTAGTACAGGCTAGCCTTGAACTTGCTTGCATA